TTCGATCAGATTCAGTCCACAAACTTCAATCGGCACTGAGAAAATTGTGGCAGGGGGCTGAAAAATAATCTGCAACATGCCAGAGCACATTTGTATGCACATGTGACAATGCTAAACAAAACCATACTGTGATCATAATGTGTCAAAAATGCCAAACATGTGTAGCAAAGGCACTGAACAGTGATGCCACAACAAGATTGAGACCACGCAGTGTTGCTATTTTGCAAGCTGAGCATTCCAATATAACATCAGAACGAAACTGCCCAAATGTGTACCGCCGGGGCAATGTCACCACCACAACGCATTCTGATTCAGCCATAGTCCAACTTCTGTACCTGTCTTCAATCTCATGGCGGGACAGGTTGGTCAGCTTAGCCATGACAATGGGCACCAGCCGCACTAAGGTCTCGTTGAAGCCAAAAAACTGAATGTGCATTCCAGTGGCCACGACCGTCAGCGACCAGTGCGTGCTGACGATCTCTGCGCTGTATGCAGTTGGCAGCAGCACATCGGTCACAACTCTTGCGAACAAGCGAGCTGCCACTGCATTTGGTGTGGAGGCTGCTGGGAATGGCGATACAAGGTGGATGTGGAGACTGGCCTACATCCAACACAGCGACATCAATGGCATTCCATCCATTTCAATTTGTGGTTGCACTGCTGGCTGACGACCCGTTCGTGACAAGGGAAGTAGACAAGGCCAGAGGAAACAGCATCTATGCAATTACAATGGCCAGCCTGGAATGAGAACACAACCTGAGAATGCCAAACATGTGCATTTGAGGCAGTGGGCGCCTGAGCAGTGACAGATTTTCTGACATTAATGAGTAATTACATCTCCAGTGCAATCACTACCACGCAGCTGCTAGTTCCCACCAAAAGAAGCGTTTTAAGAAAGAAGCAATCAATTTCACTCACCTGTGGCACTTTCAGTGTTGGAAAACGTACCTTTGGAATCCCAAACGTGGCATCATGACGATACCAGAGCCTGGTTGCGCTGCTATCTCTCACCACCTTTGGAGGATCCGACCAAGTAGTCTCAGGCGATGCAACCGGCCTCAATGACAAATCGTGAGGTATGGCCCAGCAGGCATCGACCAACCGCAGACCAGTGTCATGGTGGCAGCCAGATCGGATGTCGTTGATCAGGTCATACAGATCGGTGGGCATTGTCATCTGCGAGTACTTGGCCCTGTAGTTTGCCTCAATGGCGGTTGTAGTTCCTTCAAAACGCTTGCTGACCACGAACACTGACATATACTCCGGAACCAAGAAAGACAGGAAAGTCTTCAAGGAGGGCTCTGTCAGGCAGAAATCAAGCAGCCAGTGTTAGGTTTACATGTAAGTTTTGGTGATGAACACCATCTTTTTGGCCGCATTCCCCAGATATGGTGAAAGCATCGCCCTGACTACCTCAAGACGGCGACAATCATGGCTTAAAGGCGTGTCTAAATTCCAACGATTGAAGGTATGTGGAGCATCTTGTACCTCACAAAGTAACAAGAGCTTTGTGCAAAACTGATGCGTAAACGAGTGTGTCCACAACAGCGGGCAGAACAGCAACACTGCCTTGTATGCAAATATTACTTTGAGGATGCTGTCAACGTGGCACAATCATTCTGGCATTTGTGGGTGCAACAGTTTAGGACTCTCATGCGATTCTTTCAGAGCCCATCAGACAGTTTAGCACAAAGTGCTTGTATGCCTCACCTGCATACTCCTGCAGGAGCGCTGGTCCCGTCAAAAGATCTGAGGCTTCATAATGTCGCACATTGAGCGCCAAGGCCAATGCATAGTTTACAGGTTGCTCACGGCTTTTGTAGTCAAAACGAATCTGCTCAATCTCTTGCAATTCCGTATATGTTGTTTGGCATGCTGCAGGTGGCAGCCGCCTCAAAATCTGCCGAACAATACAGAGAGAAGCTGGTTCCTTGGACATCATTGCAGGCATTGCAATATTTGAACAGAGCATGAAAGTTTTGGACAGCACTGAGTGGACACAGTACACCTTGGACATGCAACCACAAAGTGGGGGAAGGCCGATGTACTGATGGTGTTGCTCAATGATAACACGCCACTCAGTATCAATCCTTTGTTATACAACCTGTACAAGTTAGCCAATCGAAAGAGCCACACTAACCATCCCATTCCCGCTCCAACATAGCAAGTGTTCCCTGCAATTGACACTACACTCACCTCAATGCTCTCATACACTGTTGCAACGATTTCTTGTACATGGTCAAGCCCTTTCTCGGTGAGCTGCATTTTGCAGTGCCACAGCATAAAACCTGCTCCCCTTCGCACTTCTTCCCCAATACCAGCAACAAGAGATTGGATCAGGCCTTTTCGTTTAAGATGGCTGGCAGCACTCCCATCCCCTTCATGCCCAACGTGGTGCCCAACCCATCTCCATGGCTTGCAACTGCACAGAGCACATTTTGCTGATATAAATTGATGGCAATCCAGGTGATTGCCTTCTCTTACTATCGTTTCTTTTCCCCTATGGACGGGAATGGATGGCTGACTACATCGCAAAAATGTGTTTTGAACACAAGCCATCTTTGCAAACTACCCAAACACAGTGCACCTGTCAGGTGTGCAAAGTATCAGAGCATGAATATCTTCAATGGGCCATTCACACACCCTTCATAACGTCCAGCCCATGCAATGAACAGTAGTGATGGTGATACAGTGAATAAAACACATGTTACCAAGTATAGGACCTGACCACACAACAATCGCAATGACTTTCCCACAGTGCTTGTTCCCACCATCGCCATTGGCAAGTGCAGTAGAGCATATGCTGCTACAACAACACAGCAGATTGCAAGCATGTGCTTTCTTCACCTATCACAGCACAGCATGCCAACAGCCCCACATTGTGCACTTTTTCCAGACTTTGCTCCCAATCCAGTACTACAACACAGAATCACAATTTCGATGGTGGGCTTGGCCGCACCGGTTTTCGGTGTGGACCCCATAAGGTATGAACCACACCAGGTCCAGAGTCCGCAGCTCTCTTAGGGGGGCGACCTCATAGTATCTCAATCCCCAGGCCTTGGCATCTGTCACATTTGTCTCAAATGGGGAAGGTGCCCATTCTCCTGTCCTTGGGGGAACAAGGGAGAAAGACTCCAGCACCCATTGCTCGACATCGTCGAGGCTGTGGGGAGAAATGACTGCAAGGGTCAAGTTGTCTGCCCGAGGCACCACATGCAAGCCAACATAGTGAGTCAGCCATACATCTGTGAGTTAGATGCAATCTTTCCCAGATGAATACGGCTCAAGATGTGCCTTCTACATCTGTCAGCATTGGGTCTTGCCTTTATCTGATGTTTGCTGCCCTCACCACACACACATGTGCATCAAAGTTGATAACTGCAAACATGGCCCCTTGAGCATATGTGGCTGGATGAAAAGCCAAACCGCGCTGCACACAATGCTTTCGCAACCAGTTGGTTTTGCCACCACTTGAAAAGGGGAAACGAAAAAACCTATTGACAGCAAAAGAAAACAGCAAGATGCCTCACAACATCAGAAAATGATATTCAGTGATGCACAGAATGCAGAGCCTTATTCAGAACCTCACCTCCCAAGCAGCCTTGTTTGTGCCACTGCTTCAGTACCTCAGGCACATTAATGCCAAGTTCCTGAAAGGAAGGAGCACATGTGTATTAGCTGTGCCACTGTTTCCTGTAGGGCTGTCTGCAAGACCAAAACTGCAACACACTCAGTCGGCCTCGGTTCCACAGACCCAAACATACGCCATCCGAATTGCAGGCCCCAGAAACATAAACATCATATTTCATGCCTCTATCTGCAGTGTGGTTGAGCAATGTTCTTCCACACTGCACATCCCTTTCACAACACTTGTACTCAAAGTAAATCGATGGGTAGGGCGAATATCATCCACAAGATCGGACACCATAACTGGTATCCCAGCTTCAAAGATTTACAATGCAACCTTAAATAATAGAATGCACAAAAAGGAAGCACTGCATTCACAGGGAAGAATAGGAACTCCCTTGGTTTGAAGCTTTGATCAGCATCGAACAATCATCACGTCCTGCCATGGCAGAGAAACCTACAGCAATCTGCAAATCGCTGCTGATGCTCACCTTTGGTTTGTCACGGAGGGTAGTGACACTGCCGGTGCCAAATCTGTTTAAGGGAGCAGGGCCCACAGAGCGTTGCAAGTTCAACAGCTTGACAGCATCTGAATTGCTGCGCTTGCTGTATTCTGAATCTACATTCAGCACCTCACGATCCAAGGCCTCAGGGAGGAAGAGGGGATCAATAAAGAAACGGGAAAGCCTGTCCAAAGCCTCTTTCAAGTGCTCATTCTGGACCTCAAAATGGAATCTTGTTTCTGTCTTTCCTGTAAATTGAATGAAAATGGGGTCAGTGAGCGTGCCTTTGCCTCCTTCTCTTTAGGAGAATGAGTTTCGTTTTCTCTAGCAAATGATGCAAATTCTCTTACAACGAACCACAAAAAATACATGAAACCAAGACCGCCAAATGTCAAGGCATGCTACAGTGCACTGCACAATATGAGTAAGCTGCAGTGTACAAGGGAGCAACCCTTCAGCAACTTTGTCAGTGTGTAAATTCTATAATCGCAGGCTGTGAGCTACTCATCAGAAAGTCCAGTGCGCGTCTGTCACAATATTTTTGTGCACAGATTCCACGCATGTGCCACAGCACAATTATGATTTGGGCCCCAAGCACCGAACTAAGGACTGAACAACACAGGAAGAATGCTGTGCAGTGTGAAACGGATATTCAGAATCCAGTTTGACTGGACAGAAATGAAGCAAAATGGCTGGACATAGGATAGGTGGAAACACCATTTTCCTTGGAAAAATTTGCTCACATCCAACGAGTGTAAGGAGGAATGACGCTCGCTGATGGGCAACTGTGGCGCATTCGCGACAGTATAGGCAAAGATCACTTGACGTACGATAAGATGGGGCAGATATTGCAGGTGCTTGGATGAAAGGGTGATGTGTCAAGGTAGTGGTGGTACCAATAGTTACTCCAACTGAACTGTTCATCGTCACCAATGGAAACAGATTCACAGTAAGTGGACAGTCTGTTCATCGTGGAGGCAATAATGGTAGCGATCAGGAATAGCTCAATCGGATGGTGTTTGCCGCCAAACCGCCTCCAGTTCATATTTCTATCACATATTGAGGATGGCCCCAATCACGCCTTTGCCATGAAAGGATTTTATGAGGCTAACTGCAGGCATGCAATTTCATGGGGATGTGAAGAAGGCCATGGCACATACCTCAGCGATTTCAATCGTCACGGTCGTCATCCATCAAGTTAAAGCCAGATCGGCCGTTGGGCACCATGCACATGTCACTACATAAGCGCTGCGGTGCCGTGGGAGCGATTGTCTCGCCATCTTCGGATTCTGGCTCAATGATGACCCGTTGAGCGCAAACCCGGGGGCTACATATTGTTACAGGTTTCACACAGTACTTTAGGTTCCAGTACTTTCCAGGACATTTAGGTCTGGGCGATTCCCAGCAGCGGCAAGCCACCCCCGCCCTGCGCCGCACCCGTGGTCGCATTGGACTTTCCCCCGCGCGACGCCAGGAACTGTTTGTAGCCCCGCTCATCCGGGTACCTCCCCGTGCCCAGGTGCACCGCGTGCTCCACAAAGTGCGCCAGTCCGGGAAGGTCCTCCGGATCATCGAAGTAGCCAACGCCCACCTCAGCGCACGCTGCCGCGAAGACGGCCTCCTCGTCCTGGACCACCACCGCCCGCAGGCCGTTGCCCAGCCTGCGAAGCACGGCTCCAGCAGCCGCGCAGAGCTCAGCTTCCATCGAAGGTGGTGAACCAACAGCACCCCAATCTGCCATGTTGGCAGGCCCACAATCTGGCCCATGAAAAGAGGATTGGGTGGGCAAACTGGGACGGTGCAAAAGCCCCACAACAAGGCAATCCTCAAAAGCGCGAATTTGATGGAGTGTCCCACAGATGCCGCGAGTTGAGAGCGCCATATTGCGGCTGCGCCACTGCACCACAAGCTGATCGGACGGTTGGTTGGGGTAGCCGATTGCAGCGGCCCGCGCCCTACCTCAACCAGCGATACAGACGCTGGTCTGTCTTAGGCTTGGGGATGTCGTCGACGCTGATGGTGGCCGCCATGGCCGCGGTGCCCTGCGCACTCCGGCGGTGATTGTGAACCTGCCAGTCGTGCCGACCTCCACTGAAGGGCCCGGTGGCCAACTTCCCACAGTATAGCCGCGGCCACGAACAATCACGGTTGATGCAAAACTGGCACAAAATCGCTTATTCTTCAACCAGCGCGGACGCGCATGTGTCTCGTGCATCTTCCCTGGGTGCAGCCAACTTGGATCCGCTGCGTGCATCCAATTTGGAGGGGTGTCTCGCGCATATTTCCAGGCTGCAGCCAACTAGGATGCGTTGTGTGCATCCAAGTTGGCTGCACCCTGGAAATATGCACAAGGCACCCCTCCCGGACGGAAACTGTGGCATATGATGTGCGGGCCCGAGGGACCATGACTCAAGTACTGCAAGTTTCAGCATTTGGGAACAGTGGACTGTTGCTTTGGGCGACGAATCGACGAGTGTTCCTCCTTTGCAACTGTTGCAATCATTGAAGATGTGCAAATTTGTAAGGACATGCAGCATGCACATGGGCGATGTGCACTCCCCCTTTTGGCGCTCCCTAAGTGCGTGTTTCGAACAAAACGGTGGTGGTGTTCCACGTGCAGCAGGAGATGCAGCGCCCTTGAGAAAGGCGTTGGGGCTGCGTCAGAGAGCACGGGACCATGGCAAGCTCAAATTGTGGCCATTCGTTGTCGACTGATACAGCACCGACGTGGCTTCTCCAAAACCTGGACATACGTGTGCACGACAAGTATGGCGAAACGTGGCAGTACTTTAACAGGGTGCGCGCAACACGGACAGACCTAAATTTGTCACCGCTCAAAACATCTTGAACAAAATTGTGTCAAGTACTGGTCATCTACCTCCGAAGCGTCCTGGAACACCACTCTAAATAGCCAAGTACATTATTAGTCAGAACGGCAACTTCACTAAAAGATCTATGTGGCACATATCTGACAATGCACAGAAGCCCAACGCCCTTACCTGCGCATGCTTATTGTGAGTCCTTCCCTGAAATCTGCATGTTAATTTTGACATCAGATTCTTTCTATGACTGGGCTGAGGTATTCACTGCAGTTTGCTTGTGCAACGTGGATGGATGTGTTGGCTTATTCACCTTTTGGCCCTCTACACGGATGTTCCCAGGGCAGGATGGAGCACGATGATAGGCAGGCACTGATCCACAGTGTTAGGTTGGGTGAAAGATGAGCTGAGTGTAGTACAACAAAGCCAAGTCATGTGCTGCTCAACCTGTGAATTAAGAGTCCCATTCCATCTAGCCCTTGCTGCACAATTGCCCAACCAAGAATTAAGATCACCAAAAGCCAAGATACCTCCTCGTTTTTAGTCCAAGAATACTGTCCCACTGCGCAGTGACAGGGGGGATGCCAAGGCTCGGCCAGATTCCCATCAACGTGCGCTCTTAAACACCTGACTGTTGTCACTGCTCCCTCTGTCAATCACACCCAAGCTTGCTTTTTACGTTTTGTTTTTACGTTTTTACTTTTACGTTCTTACGCATCAAACCATAAATTTGCAAAAGGGCCTATTTTTACGGCTACTTTTATGTTTTTACGGCTCCCTGGGACATCCAAGTTGTACAATGAAAGTTGCGTACAATGATTAGTCATCCGCCAACTCCAGCACCCGCAACACAATGTCCACCTCGCCTTTGGCAATGGCGATGATGGCGCTTAACAAAAACTCGTTTTCTGCCCCTTCCAGGGCGCCTAGCAGCCACTCTCCGGACTCCATAAATCTATATGTACTGTCCTTATGTACACCGGACAGTTTTTACGTTGTATTTACGTATTTTACGCATTTTAACGCGTAGAAACGTAAATACGATTAGTTTTTACGGCGTAAAAATCAAGCCTGATCACACCAACTCGTTGCACAACGATTCCACCACGTATGGATCCGCTCCGCTTCCTTACTTGTGGCATTTCTCCTTCATGGATTGGGCCTTGAGGAACGGTGTTATTGCGATGCACTCAAGGCGTCAGGGGCTCATCGGCGACCCCAGCAGCACTCAATGCTGTGGACGGCGTTGTAAGATGGGCTTGTCATCGTGGCATGTGTCGCAGTCCAGCCTGTCAACCGACAGCTTCCCGCCGGCAGCAGCTTGAAGAACGTTCCTGTGCGCGAAGGACGTAAGGAAGGGGAATGGATCGGCGCCGGGGCATTCAGAACGGCGATATGATGACCAAGCCTCATCATGCGCCCTGTGCGTCCAATCAATGGTGCACTCTTCACTCAGAAATTGCACCCAATTCTCTATTCAAGAAATACTACAAACCAAGGCAAGCAGGTAGACGTCAACTCCCCACTTGCCCGACAAAGCAGTGCCCATATTTCCCTCACCCAAAATCCAATGCACTGTAGCTCCTGATTTCGCGGACAAGATCGTCGGTGGCAACACATCAGAAGCAGAGCCCTTGCACCAGGGGAGAGGGGGCAGAGCCAAAAATCGATTTGGTGCCGCTGTGGCGAAATGCGCTCAAGCGGCTTTCCCTGTTTCCGTCTCCTCGGTAATTTCTTCGGCGGGCGGTGCACCGAGCCAAAAGCGCAGCAACATCAATGATGCACATCAATCATGCACACACCTCAATCATACACAGAAAACGACTTTGTTGGGCGGGGCCGTTCTGGTCGTCCCATTGGGGTCTTGCTGGTGGCGCGGATGGACGGCGAACGGTTCCCCGACGGCGCAGAGGCGGATCCCGACGCGCAGGGCGACGCGCCGCCGCCACCGCCAGATCGCGCTGCCGATGGATCTCCGGGACCACAGCCTGCCGCCGATCCCCCGGCAGGGGGCGGCGGCGAGGGCCGTGACGGCCCCAAGGACGTTTCCGAGCTCTTTGATCTCGTCAAGGACAGGCCATGTCGCGTGACAGAGATCGAGGGGCGAGGTTTCAAGCGGACGCGGCCGCTGCTGGTCACGCGGGAGATGGAGCGGGTGCGCGAAGCGCGCACGCTGGAGGAGATCCAGGGCCATTTGGCGGAGTGCATGGCCGCGCTGGAGGATCTGGACCTGTTCGCGTCGGTGGAGGGGGAGCTGCTGGAAGGGGACAAGGTGGGGCGCGAGCCGTGCCGGTGCGATTGAAATCGATGTCGCTGCCGCGTCTGTGAGTGCCTGAACTCCGCGGAGCTGTGGCGGGACCTGTTTGGGCAACTGGGACACATCCGGCCAACTTCCGATGCGCATTGCGGTGATCGGTCCTGATTGGGTGTCAAATGGCGCCTTGGCCGCCGCGGGATGCCCACAGCGCCGACCAATGGGCGGTACGGCGGAAGGGTGGGACGGAATGGGGGTCGGCGTGCCCCTGATGTTTGGGTGAGCGCGCCTCAGATCGTCTCTGTTGATTCGAGCGTTTGATGCAGGACTCCCCGGACACTTGTCGATTGGTGATGGAGTTTGAGGAGAAGCCGCCCTGGAAGATGCACGTGGGCACGTACGTTCAAGGCCATGAGGGCAGCGTGGAGGCAACCGTTGGCTTGCGCAACCTGCTTGGCAACGCGGAGCACGCGCAGCTGAGCCTGGACTATAGCAGCCAGAAGAGCAGCGAGTATGCGTTCCAGCTGTGGAAGCCCCGTTTGGTTGGACTCCCTTGGAAGGTGCGAAACAGCCGACAGGAGGATTGCGGTGCCATCCTGCACAGCTGGAAGTTGGTGGCAATCACCTTGAAATCACATTTTCGACAATTCGCTTCAGGGAAGCACCTTTTGCTGTGGATCGTCCAGCATCCTACGCCTGATCATGAATAGGGCTGGCACAAACGCTGGCTGCAGTTGGGGAAACGTCAAAACTTTACCAAGTGGTAAAGTCTTGGGCGATTCGCCAACAGATAGAATGTTAGGAGTGGTGCAACCCACCTCTCTCCAGCGATTGGAGAAAGGGAGGTGAATATCTACAAATCATTGCACATTTTGGGACACATGAAACGTGTCCACATAAAATAACTGATGAAGATTGCCACACTATTTGCAATCATTGGTTCATTGTTCATGTTCAAAGGCGATTGCAGATCCAGTGTGCATTTGCTGTGAAAGCTTCCAGCTATCGGCTTTGTTGATGCTTTTTGCACACAGTGCAGTCGACGCATGCATGCAAATCAGTGCCACGAAATCGGAAAGATTGAGACTCAATTTTCATAGAACACTGTCAATTGCTCAGCAGGCACAAACAGTTGCAAGTGGCCAACACTGTGCAACAATGGTGTTGCCAGGGAGAAGTGAAGCTATTCAATTGGCTCAGATCAAACCAGCAGTATTCTTCTTTTGTGGAGAGGATAAGAGGGGTCTCATTTGGATTGAAGTGGTAAGATGCATTCCCCTTCTGTATGCTTTGAAGGGACCTTGCCATAGTGTGGCCTATCCTGTGCAGTCATAAATGTCACACCCCAGATGAACTTGCGCACAACGCGCATGCATCGTGTGTATTGCATTGACAGTTGTTGTCCATGTCTCAAAACAAGAGTATTCGGCCATTGTACTTTGTTCCCACGACTGGGCACAACTTTCTGATTATTTAACTCCATCAGAAGCACCATTGGGTTCTATTCAGGGCTGTCATTTGTGCAAAGTCAGGTTCTTTGTAGTGAGGGATCATCACTGCCCAGTAGGATTGTCAACTGGCAGCCGAGACAAGCACGAATTACTGCTGCCATCCATTGATATCACATAGATGTTAGTGCAAACGTTGAGTTTTAAGCTTCCTGGCCAGTTGTGGTGTGCTAACGGTACAACCAGTGGAGGTGGCAGGACTTCTGGTTGCAGCGTCTTTTTTGCTGTTGTTTGGCTATGTCCTTGAGGACGCCGCATTCTTCAGTTCACCCAGAGGGCAGGCTGTGTTGGTCTTGGGCAATGTGAGGATTGCACAAAAGCATTTTTTCTCAATGCTTCAGACATGTTACAGCTGCCAGATAGCTTGAAATGAGATTAGTGGACCACACAGTAGTTGTGCAGCTGCAATCAGAGCATGTTGATCATAGACGGAGGAATTGAAGGTGCAACAATGAGGTTTTGTTTCTTGTGCATTCTGTGGACTGTTGATGCCTGTGCCCGAGTCTTGCATGTTGCCAGGTTGTGCAGCTGCCATTTTTTGTGAATCAGGTCATGTCTGTGTGGCACGTTTGTGTCCAGTTCAGGTGGACTGCACTCCTTCACCTATGACCTCGCGTGGCGCCTCCTGTCTGACCCCTCCCGCCTGGCATCCCCAGCCATCTGCGAGCAGCTTGGACACAGCCTGAAATCGTCATTGGCATATGACTTCAACTGGGACAAGCGGGAATCGTCTGGGAGACCAAAATCGGGACGTGCCTTCAGAATGCGAACTGAGCTTGGTGGCTTGGCTCCGGATTCCATTGTGGCCAAGTACATAAGGGAGCAGGTGGACTTGCAATGGACTTTGCCACTGTTTTCGACAGTTTCTTTTACCTTGGGGCTCAGTGCTGGTAAGAGGACAGCAAAGGATCAATCGGGATTCCTTCAATGACGCATCAACAAGTAGTGTACAACAACTGTAGAGCCGATAGACAGGAAAGCTCACGTGGAGCTAAGACGAATGCTTGTCTATGGATCTGGCACCCCTCTTTATTATGAGAACGTGGCATTTCCTGTGACTGCCTTCATCTCTGGCGATGATTTGTGCACAGTCACGTGCATGATGATGCATGGCGAAATGGGTACATTGCCAGCCCCACCTTGTTGGGTAACTTGACAAGGTGCTTTTGCCCTGATGCCAAGTCCTGGTGCTGAAGGCACTGTGCTTCGTGGAGATGCTCCAGCTGCAATGGCATTCTTGATGTTGCTGGCGCACAATTTTTGGCTTGCTCTTGGATGTGGTGCCACATTTTCTCTCGTCAGATATCTTGAGATTGTGCTGTGATCGGCTTCATGTTTTCATTCACGTTGTACTGTGCAAGAATGTCCTGGGTACTACTGGATATTGAAACTGTCAGAAGCATTTTTCTGAGATCAGAACAAGTACACATTGACAGTGCACGATGTTGTGCGCGACAATGTGCTACCAAATTTGGGACGGGGATGTAGCGCTAGGGAGTGGGCTTTTTCAAAATTGCAGAAATCATAAGGTCAATTTCATTCATTGCCTGCGGGATTTGTTTCAGGCTTTGCTGTCAGTGCTGTTGCAATGGTGGAGGAGATTTCTAATCCTTGCTAAGTCCCCGGCATACTGGCTGAAGGCCTCTGCAACCAAAAACTACCCTACTGAGGGCATGTAAGCTGCGTTACTGAGATCTGCATTGGATGGACCCCTTCTATTCGTGCCACACTGATGTCCACACAGACGGTGTGCAGGTATGACAACTGACGCAAAGCGCAGCATTGTTGGGAGCTAGCTGCCGAATGGCTCCAGAATTGTCAAACTGCTCCCAGATGGCTGAATCGTTGCTGTGTTGTTGTTCCAGGGTTTGATGTTGGAACAGCTGTGTCATGATTCGCTGTCTGTTGCCTCCAGGAATGTTGCTGCCAGTCGGGCAGGATTTCCTCCACAGAAAGACTGCAGTGGGTGACAGATTTTTCTTGGGAGGCGTTGGCTCTCTGAGGGGGTTCGAAGCAAGGGGTGTGGGGCCCACAGATGCACGACGTCGACGAACAGAGCAGCCCTCCCACGATGCAGATCATGTGGGAGCCCAAGCACGGGACGCACTGGGTGGAGACCTTCTGTGCTCAGCTTCTGCAGCGGTGAGCTACTGTTGCAGTGATGCTAGCTGCATTTGCTGCATTAATGCTTGTAGGGCCAAAGTTTGACATTTGAACAAAACGGCGAACGTGCCAAACAATGGGAACTCCCTGCATATCAAGCATTCTGTGAGAGTTCCCCGTGGAATAGAAGGTGATGCATTTGTTGGCACCATGTCAGTCTAGATTCGTACAAGCTTACGCTACCATGCTGACTTCTCAGTGGGGTGTGCTCTGGGTCACGCTGTTTTGGGTGTTCGTGCCCAGGTGAATTTCGACCTCCCCCACAGCAGCCTGCAATGGCTTGGCGTATATGGACACGCATTCTTCAATGCTGGCAACACTATGCTCTTGTGCTGCTCTGGACGGCCACTGAGGTCCTCTTTGCAGGAATTTGGGGCATCTTTCCGATCTTCAGCTGGCGCTGGGCTTGTGTTTCCCACTGTGTTTGGGACCTTTGAGCTGAATTACGTGGTCCCATTGACATTCAGCAACTTTGATAGGGTCAAGCATGGCATGCAAATGGGTTTTGCTTCCACGCCCTTCCTCAACATGTAATGGCGGTTAGCGACAGCTGGGGGTTTTTACACTTGCCAAGTTTCTGTAGATATCTCTTCGGGTTGAGATGTGGGGCAGACAGCAGACTGGTCTTTGGCTTTGGGTTGTTCACTGCGTGTCATAAATTTATGTTAGTCCATGTGCAAACAAAAGCATTTGCCAATACTGTACAATCCAGCCCAGACACTGCAGGCTGGCACAATCATTGTGGCACACATCATGAGTCAGTTGAGCTGATAAAGTGCGCAATCGAGTATTAGTTCCTCTGCTGCCGCGTTCACGAGCTGTGAGTATGCTTTAGTGCCGATTACCAAGGTGATATAGTATCCTTTTCACAGAGCCACATGATGGCTACTGCTTTCTCACAGGGTGAATCATACGTGTCTCAGGGCTAACGGCTGGACGCCACTTCAAGCACAGGGCTCATTGTGTTGCATGGCCCGAGCAAGTCGGCACTGCGAAAATTACAAGAATAAACAGATTGTTGCATAAATATTATTCGAAGTCATTTCTCTGATAGAGTGCGGACTTGAGGCTTCACCTTTTCTTTGTCGAACTCGGTCCTTTTTGCGTCCGAAACTGTACTGCTTATTACACGTTACACTGTTCACCTATTCACCACTGCGACTATCAAGCGCAAAGGAAAACGGCACGTACTCTGCCATCGGAAATCCGTTGCGATTACATTTGCCAAAAATATGGCAAAGCAAGCGCTGTCACCAAGCTGGCGATGTCGGGCAGTGTTCCCAGAAAACAGCATGCAATCCAGTCCGTGTTTGTGTTCAACTGTCATCAAACAGCCCCAAAAACCGCAGCAAAGCCGCCCAAAGAAAAAGAGAACGACGAGCCAGAAAATGTGAAGGGCAACTCCCCAACCCTCAAGGTGGTAGGGGGAGTGCAGAGATGAGATCCAACGAGGGATGATTGTGCTCCAGAACTAGAGTGTTTCATTTATCAGCCAGACCCCCCGCCCAAAAAGAGAAGAAAACCTGAGTGCACCCAGAAAAAACAGAAAATGCGTCTAATCTACCCAGACGAACACGTGTTAAGCTCGCCGCCCCCAAGGCGTGGCCCCAGGTTGGGCGTCCCAATAATGCTTGACGCGCGTCAAGAAACCAACCAAGTCCTTAAGAGCCATGGGCACGAGTTCCGATAGGTCCCACCGCAAATTGGCGTCACCCCGGCGGCGCGCCGATGCAGGAAATGTCATCCGGTCTCCATCATAACGTTCACAATGCAGGAAAATGTGTTCGCGATCCATTGAATTACAGGAAAACAAGCTCCACCTAATACCTGCTGGCAGGACATGGCGCATTTATCAGCCTTGGAAGATGCCCAGCATGTGGCAGCCTTCGGATATCAGGAGCACACCGATATGCATTCCAGCCGTCGGGCCTACGCTGTCGCGACTGCCGCGATTTCCTCGATCGCCTGAAGCATCAATATTTTTTCGGTGAATGCAAAATTAACCGTGGACTGGTTGCGTTGATGCACATCCGGTCTTCCACATGCCCCCCGCGCTCTCGGTCAAGGCCCAGGACGGGCGATCGACGGTGGGCTCCTTTCCACCTTTCCACCTTTCGACTGTCCCCACTCCCCCACAAGGCACAGCGCGTTCCGCGGCCCCGTCCCCCATCCCCGGCCTTGCCCCGGCCCCTCCGCGTTTATGAGGCCGCCCCTCCGGCCGGGCAAGCAGATCGCTAGCCCCCAGGCGACGGCCTCCCGCCCCGCGATCTCCCCCTCCCCCTGCGGCAAGGATCCGGCCGGCCGCCCCTGCGCCCCACGCGCTGGCCTCCCCTGCCCGCCGGGGGCGCGGCGAGGTCCAGTGGCATGCGGCGTGGCCGGCGTGGGCGTGGGCAACCTCGACGTGATAGGGGAATGGCTGGATGATGGGGAACTCGAGGAGACCACCAGCGACGCGCTGCTGAGCACGTGCCGGTGCCTAGTGCTGGATGTCTCCTGCCAGCCCGTGGGCGTGCTTGGGTGGAAGCGCGCGGTGCTGCTGGACGTGATGAAGAAGGCGGAGGTGCTCGAGTACCACGACGTGTGCGTGCGGTCGGTGTCGATGAGGCACCCGATCCCGGCGGTGGTGCGCGCGCAGGCGGTGCTGAAGCACCGGGGCCGGGCGCGCGTGGCGCTCAACCGGACCACCGTGCACCTGCGGGACGACGGCAGGTAGGCGGGGCCCGCTGGGTGCACTCGCGCGCGCGTGGTTTTGAGTGTTATTGTTGTTGCTGTTGTTCATTACAGTGGGTCCGACAAGTGAATGTCATGTTATGTTACTGGCATGGAAAGCCAACTCATAGTGCCCATGCACAGGAGTCAGAGCCCGGTGTGTGTGTGTGTGCGTGTGTGTGTGTGTGTGTGTGTTGCTTGTGTTCATGCGACGACTCTGTTCGTTGGGCTCCTATGGGGTAGCAGCATGGGAATTCGTGGGTCCACATCCCGTGCTGGAGGATCTCCAAGTGTGAATCTCTGACGCTGCGTTGCTACACAGATGCCTTTTCAGTACAGTGCGTTTCCTAGATGCAGGAGCAGGCAACAAAAAACTGTCGCTAATTGACGAATTCCAAACGTGTGTAGCATAAGTAGGACCTGCCAGTTCACGTTCACTGTCTTCACCTAAAATGAGCAATATGCTTACCAATATGTGTATCTCCTGCGCTTCACCAACGAAAGAGGGGTACCATTTTTCTGTACTGTGACAATGTGTGCAAGCTTGATACTCAACCCATGAGTGGTCTGGGGGCATGGACTGCCTGAACACACAGGTGTTTTCTCTCTGCTCAGTGCAGCATGTTGTTCCTATTGCTATCAGAGACTATCAGATCATCGCTCTCAGCGCTGATTAGATTCGCAAAAGACAAGGCTTGGAGGGTTTGTCCATTGTTTGACATGTCTCATTCTTCACAACAATGATTGACAGGTGTGTATACTGTGGGTCGCGGTCCAACTTGACGATCGACCATGTGGTACCAATTTCGAAAGGCGGTCCCAAGGCATGGGGAAATGTGGTGACTGCATGCATGCGGTGCAACAACAAGAAGGGGGACCGCACGCTGAAGCAGATGGGATGGAAATTGAAGAAGGAACCCAATGAGCCATCGCCGTTCGACGTGAGATTTGTGCTGATGGCTGGTGGCACAAGGGAACGACCCAGGCAATGGGCAAACTACCTACAAGGGCTTGTGGGCATGAAAATGTGACGTCCGCTGATCATGGGAATTGATTGGGACGCTTGGTGCCCTCTGGAGTGTTCAGTGTCAGTTAAAGGGCAGATGAAATTTGTCGATTCTTTGGTGCCGTTTTTTGTAGAGCGGCTTCTCGTTGGGCTGGCTGCAGTGCCCTTAGATGCCAACGCAGTGACCCATTGGTGCTTTCGCTGGGTGCTGGTTGGGCATGTAAGCAGGAGGTGGGGCATGGCTGCTGCACCATGAGAGGAAGGGGTCGGCGTGTCTAGGTACTGCAGCATGCAGGAATGCAGAGTGTGAGGGTGGGAGGGGTCCCATGACCATGGTGCTACATGCTGTTGCAGTTGGCCATTGTGTCAACCGTTCGAATCCACATCTGCTGGTGGTTTCTTGTGCAGCCAGTCCCCTGAACGGGTGAGCTCGCCTGTGTATATCTGGCATCGCATTGTAAGAATACAATATGTGTATGTAGAAACGGGCCATATGTGTTTATAGCCTGTTGTTGTCTCATGCGTGGAATGCCCACAAGTGGACTGCGGATACACGTTGGAAGCGGCCTCAAAGGGGGCCGCCAAAACACATATTTCTGTAGAAAGCTGTTGTATGCGGACCACAGGATTGTACATCTTGGTGTGCAGGGTGGCTGTGCCCCATTTCATGGCAATTGGAGCGGCAATTCATGGCCATGCAAATGTTTTAGGAATGTGTGCCTCCTCAACTTTGGCTGCAGCGATCCGTTCTGAGCTCTTGCTCACTGTTGCGCTGGCTCTATTCGGTTCGTACAGTCCAACCTTGTTTTGGTGGTGCAGCTTTCTTCTGAACGGTCTTGCTTTCAGTCGGTGCCGTGCGCACAGGTGCCAAAAAGATCGCCAATGGCTGCAGGGCAGCTGGGTTGGGGTCTGGGCAAGGGGACTCTGATGTTACCCGTGCAACGCTGAATAATGCCAGGCCTTGATGGACCGTTGTTGGATAACTGCGACATTTGGGTTGAAGACTTCGGGCGATGGAGCTGCCATATTGATGCAACGCTGCCTGTCTCTGATCCGTAATGCGCCGCCAGTATACTCGACCCAGTGTTGGATTGGGTCCCGCAAACTGTTGGGCGTCGGCAATGGCACGAATAGCGCAGAAATCTGTTGATTCATTTGCCACAGCATAGGTGCTCTTTATTTGACCACGTAGGACCTCCACCATGAAACTCCCGATGGTGCGACCAAAACCTGAGACTTGGAGCTGCAGCGTTGCTTCTAAGCTCGCAAACCCTTTATCAACTGCTCAGTGATGTCCAAGTTCGTTCATCCCGGCCACCATGAGAATTCGACACAAGCATCCCAAATTCGTTGCATGCTTATGTTTCGTTTTGCACACACAGCGCCGACGTAGCAAGGGGCATTGCATGTGTTCATCAGATCAACCTTTGCGGGGAGTGAGACGATGAGTGCGATCCTACGCTGCGTCTCCTGATGCACCTGGACAGCGACCAAGCGCCACCCATCCACCCACCCAGCCCACCATCCTCACCACGCTGCAGTGTGTCTGAGATAGAGAGGTGGAGTGCGTCAGCGGAAGTCTGAACACATCCATTCCTGAAGTGGTGCTCCGGAACCATGCCAATATCATGGATCTGATAATATTTGCATCCAGTATTCTCCCGTGTGGTCACTATGGTCACTATGGATCCAAGGCCCTGCCACTGTCTGGGAAGCCGCCACCCAAGCCTCACATCAAACCAACTCCATGAGACAACACTGCAAACGCAGGCCCAGGCTGCGATTCAAGGGAACGAATGGATGTAGTCGATGACTGCCAGTGGCTGCACAACGACTTTCAGGCGCATTGCAGCTAATCACAGGCCTTGCTGATCATTCTGTCACAGCTGCACACTCTGTTGGAAACAAATGGATTAAAAGCATGCTGTTTTTCTGTTCTTGCAGCTTCGTTGGACAAGCACAGCCAGCCATGCCATCCTTTGTGAACACGCTTGTGCAACCTCGTTACACCCATCCTGCCTCTTTGCACGTGCTGTCAGGTCACAGCCAGTCCACTGAGAAGACCAGATGCCTTCAGTGGCGTGCATGGGCGACAAGATCAGTGATGCATAATAAGACTTGTTACCCACTCCACACAGGCTTCCATCCTCCAGGTCAGGCTGTCAGCAAACAGGCGCCTCCAGCCTCCAATATCTTCTTCTCAGCCCTTTTGGTGAACAATTTGGCCTTCACGATGAGGGGCTGGGCGGGGATGTGGCCATTGCCCACCACCTTGAAGTAGCCGTACTTGGTGACGTCCAGGACTGGCGCCTTGGACGTGTCTTTTGCAGCCGTTTCTCGCACCTGCAGCCAACTCGTCAGTGTGGCCCGCAGTTGCATCTGAAGATCAAAAACAGTCACCGTGCTGCTGCCCAACAAGAGAAGACAGATACCACATGGTAGGGTTGATTTGTGTGTCTGAAAGACACACTTTTCTTGCTAAAGTATGTGTCCAACAATACTAATCTGATGCAGAGACACTTGCTTATTCTCCCCCGCATCGTTCGGAAGTAGAAGAACAAAAGGGGGGAAAAGTGTGCAACGGCAAATGGCCAGTCGCAGACCATCTGCCAGGAAGCATGCGTTGAGGTTCACATATGCACAGAGCTCCGCTGGCAATTATTCACCATTATTCTGTGTTGATCGCTAAGAAAGGCACCGAATCCAACCAGATACGATGTCATTCACCTTCAGTCAGCAGTTTTGTTGCTTGTGGAATACAATGCGCAGCCAGATACAGCAGCACAATGCCAAGATATGTGCAGGGCTAGTTGCGCCAACGCTCACCTCACTGCCAAGTAGTGACCACAGCTTGTCCACATTAATAATGGGATTGTGGTACTTGTTCTTGTTGATGTGGAAGTACCTCATACCAACCTGCGAAAAGAAGAACATGCGCACATCAACACCCAGGCAGCGTCGATTCCACACATTCCACACCAGGATCTGTTCCACATTAATCACAAGATTTTGCAGGCAACACAAAGTCCACGATCAAGCCAGGAGCCCAGTTCAAACACAACCCCCGTCACCGATCTCATCCCTCGCCAGGAAATCCACGAGGCCCACCTTTCCGAAGTATCCAGGATGGTACAGATCAAAGAGCGTCCGGTGGTGGTGCTGGCCGCCAGCGTTTCCGCGCCCGCCAGGATGTTTGCGATGCTTGCCAATCCGCCCGTGCCCAGCACTGACATGCCCGCGCTTCTTTCTGTTCTTCCTCAGCTCTGACACAGGGGCAAGGAGTCGAGAGTCGAGTCAGGCGGCAGCCTCGGGGGGTCGGCGGCGGCCCCCCGCCCACCGGACTCAAGAGCATCCGTCCTTTCCTTCAGGAGCCCTAATGCGGAAAGGCGCTCAGTGCCCTCGCGCAGACATCATGGCACTCCACAGGACTGCCGTTGCGGTCCCTTTCCGCGACATGCAGCCCCGTTCGAGGGAAGACCGTGCGGCCGAAGGAGGATCGCCCGCAAGTAATATCTCGCGCAAATGGCATCGCTTCAGCTGCGGTGGTTCCATCCACCTGCTGGAAGACCGCCACAGGCGGCAGCGGCGCTGCCCACACTCACTTGTGGTCATCTTTGTCGTCCAGACGCCACTCTGCTCGCGCGGACAAGCAAGACGGCGCCTCCCGGGTCGTGCGGGCGAGGGTTCGTCTAATGCCATTTGAACACAACGTTTTCGGCATTTAAATTGGGGAACTGGTCGTGGGCATCAGCATCGCATCCTCCTTCTGCACCACTGGCGCTCCTTTGCGAGTTGGGCATATCCCGCCGTTCCCCCAGCGAGAAAGGGCGGGGGTTATTCAGCCCCGGCTTGGGCGCGAGTCTGCCACTGAACTCTACGGCAAAGCGACAGCGCCTCCTCGGGACCTCTGGCGGCAATGGGCCTGTGGACCCTCGTGCAGGTGAGCCGCGATGGTGGAGGGAGCCGCGGCGGTCGCGCGGCTCTGCAGCTGTCGTTGACAGGGGGCGTCCGGCGCGCCGACAATGTGCCCAAATTTGGCCTCCCGAATGTTGTGATTTTGTGCTGTGTGCAGGGCTTGCTTCTGTTCGTAAACGGGATCGCGATTCTCCACAATGAACGGTTTTTGGAGAAATGTAGGCACGCCTATCTTCTTCCCAATTGTTCGCTTTGGTTTGGACTGGTGTCGCTGAAGCAGCAGTGCTCAAATCCTGTACACGGCAGCTGTATGACGCCCATTTTACCCCATTGGCCTGATGTCTGGGCCCACTGACGCATTGGCTAACTGGTATTGTGACTCATTGAACCACACGATGATCTCTGCCAAAACTCATTCTATCGCAAGCCACGGCGACGGGGGCTTTGTTGCAGCTGATGCTGTGCGGATCGTGCCCCGAATCAGCAGAGAGCGTAAATGTCTTGAATCGTCGATTTCAACTGTGTTCTCAACTATGATTTCAACTATGATCTTTTTTCAGCTATGATCTCTGTGACATGCTCCCCAGAGCACAGACGGCACACATTTCAGTGCAGCGTGCCTCAAGATGTGGTGGTGTGCCTGCCATGGACCGGCGACAGGAACGCATTTCCTGTCCCTTACTATTGACTGAAATTTTCTTGCTGTGCAGATGGATGGGGGTTCTCATACTTCCAGTCAGGAGCAAGTCCAACAAATCTGAAATACCAAATAATAGGCCTCATACATGCCCTGCAATTCATGCAAAGTAAGCTGTTGGTCCAGAACCACTCCTTGCGTGGTTTCTGATGCATCGAGCCCATGTCCCACTGAGCTTTCTGAGCATGTCCAAGCAAACAGCCCTGCACACTGCACCTGCCTTCTGCTTCCACCATTGATGCAATCAACACTGCAGTGACATGGCTGCTGCAGAATCGTCACTGTATTTCCTGCTGTCAGTTTTGATGAGTGTCCAGCCCGTTGCATGCAAGTCCAGTTGCGCTGCATTGAGTTGATGTGTGCTCCGCATGACAGTGACCTGACAATATCGCCTGCCTGTGGTGTTCTTTCCAGCCCCCTTGGTCGCCATCAACCTGGTCGTCATTGTGGTGAAGCTCGTCTTTGGATGACGAGGTTCAAATTTCTAATGCTACTGAGTTTGGTACAGCTGTGTGTGCACTACATTTCTTGCCAAGATGACCATTCTGTATCTTTCAGAAGTCCCTTCACTGCCCTTCGTTCCCGTGTGCTGTGCAGACTACTGATATTAGGTGACAGCACAGTGCCATTCTGGAAGGGAATAACCAGGTGCTGTACAACACTTTGGACTGCACCACTACATGTGTTGCCAGACAGCTGCAGCTGCGCAGCCATGCTGCTGGTGCCATGCACAATGGGAGGTGCTCCAGCTGTACAGCTACTCTCAAGCCTGCTACTAGTCATATTGTAGATGTACAGCAGTGCCGACAAGCGCTTAGCTCTTTCATAGCATTTGCCTCCAAAGTCCAATAGATGATGTGCAGACATGACAGAGGTCACTGCATATGTGCTGTGCTGTCATTCTCCCCCACACCCCCACCACCCCACTCCCATCCACCTGGCTCGTCCCATGTGGTGAGCATCTTCTGAAGGATCCCAGTATGTCTGTACATGTGTCTATTCCTCATGTGGCCATGTCAGATTGCCATCCCGGTAAACCTGCCGCAGGAGTAATGGGCAGAAATCCCTGGATGGATATCACTGGATTTTAGCATATCACTGGCAGATCGCATCTCTCTGCTGGGGCTTGTCTGTTCCAACCTCTTTACAAAGACAGTGCTCTGCAACCATATTTGGACATATGCAGATTGATGCACAGGTATGGGGTGTCTAAGAAGCAAAGGATTGCTCCCTTTCTTGAACTCAAAATAATACACCATACTACACAGAATAGTTGCTTTCACATTTCTCTTGAAATGTGTTCCTGACAATTCAAATGCAGACTTTAGACTTTGACTCCAGCCATCAGACTACTTATGTGGCGTCGCAACAGGGTGTGCACAGGATGCATGCTTTTCTTTGATTGCTTGCGACCTCTACTGCACACATCAGAGAGTGCACACCTTGTAAGGCATGTTCATAGCCATCAGACTCCAAGCTCGACGAGCGCGTAGGGACGCTATCAAAAGAACGCCAACTGCAAGCAGTCGCACCAGCCTTCTGCTACAGGTTCTGTGACTTACATTTCACTCGTCTGCATTCAGAATACACCAGCATTCGCAATGTTGAGCAGCCCCAGGACGTAGCCACAAGCAAGCACCTCCTGGTGGCAGCGCCCACCCGACGCTAAACCCAAGATGCCATGCCCAGTGTCCGCAACGTCATTCCAATCAGCACCCAGCCTTCCACCCGGCAGTGGCCCATCTATCCACTCTCCTGGCCCACCGCCCCGCCTCCAAATACCAATTCTGCGCATCCTCACCCCGCAGCTCATCTCTTGCTCTCTTTTTGGAGGGCCATCCTCTTCGCTTTCCGCGCCCGCGCGTTGGTCGTCGTCCTCTGCCTGTGGCATGGCGGGCCGTGGATGTACCGGTACCCCGTGTAGCACCCGATGTCCTTCAGCCGCTGGATGTTCAGCGCCACGAACCCCCTCAGATCCCCCTCCACCGGCATCCTTTCCGCGCGCTCCCTGATCGCCGTCAGCTCCGACATCCAGCCGTGCGTGCGCTTGTTCTCCACGCCCGTGTCCGCCAATATCCTTGTAGCGGTCGCGTTGCCGATGCTGTACACGTACGTCAGGGAGGTCTCGATCCTCTTCTGGTTGGGGATCTCGACACCCGCCGCACGCGCGCAGTCGACGCGCAGGGGCAGCCTGCCGGCGCCCGGCCGCGAGGCGCAGGCTGCTGCCGCCGTCGATGGCCAGCCGACGCTCGTGAAGCCCTGGTACCGCGGCAGCCTGGCGCCGCCGTGGCACGCTTGCACGCCCGCAAGGCGCCTCGCCCAGAAGCCCGTCCCGGGGCCGGCGACCGTCTGGACGCGCTGGGCTCGACGGAGCCGAGAGCGCCAAAGCCGAGGCGAGGGCGTCAGGTTACGGTGGTTGGGCGCGGCGACAGCAAATGACTCGCCAAGCACAACTACGATACGATTAGATGAATAGTATTACCACTAGTTCCCACACCACCTGAGCGCCACGCCACACCCCTTAATTTGACACAGCCACCAAATCAGCCTGGCGGTCAGGGCCCTTACCAACTCAACCTGGTGGTCAGGTCCCTCGTTCCAGTGGCACAGCCCAGCACAACCTTGCGCACACATGTTTGTCGCTTGACTACCCTCAACTTCGGCTTGCCGGCGTCAGGCGTGTAGAGCGCTGGGCGTCCCACGCCACAGCCCTTCGCCTCTGTCCGCCCGTTGCTGCACTAGGGGGTAGAATTACGTGCACGCCGATATCTACGTTATGGCTCGGCATATTTTCGTGGTTCCCAGTGCTGACATTACAGCCAAGGCGCAAACCTAAACCGCCATTGTTGAGGTTGAGTGTGGTACGGCACAGACAGTTCTAGACAAGTCTGACGGCTGTCTTACACACGCCACCATTGTGCAACAGCGCCACGAACGGAGGTCACGACTTGTCACAGCGGCACTAACGGCGCCTTCGATGCCGCACATTAGGAAGCAGAGAGCCATGCGCAAGCACAATTGCCAAGCACTCGACTTTGTGACCCACAAGTGCACGCTATGGAATAAATAGAGCACTGGCGTTTAGCAACCCACACAATGTTCTCGATTGTTCTCACTGGTTTCGTTCTTTGCGTCCATCGTCATTCGGACGAGTCCTGCTCATTCGTGTTAAAACTTCCTCCACCCAGCTTGCGCATGGCAACCCGCAAGAATTAATGAAAGAAACTGCCCCACTCAACATCCAACCCTGCAACTGGCGCCCACACACTCTGCGCTGCATCGCCTTTCAGACAGCAGAACTCCAGTCAACAATGCCCCAGCTCGCGCATGGCAACGCACAAGACCCAATGAAAGAAACTTCCCCGCTCAACGCCTTACCCTGCAATTTGTAGGCTGCAAAAGCTCCCACACACTCTGCATTGCATTGCCTTTCAGACAGCAAAGCCACGTGCAACAATGCCCCTGCTTGCGCACGGCAACCCACAAGAACTAACCCAAGAAGCTGCCCCACTCAACATCAAACCCTGCCGCTGGCGCCCGCAAATTCTGCGCCGAACTGCCTTTCGGACAGCAAGGCCGCATTCAACAACGCCCGCGCCTTCAAAGTCATTTCTTCGTATTCCCCCGCCGCGTCGGACAACGCCACTATGGCGCCGCCCGCCCCAACGGTTATCGCACCCCGGTGCACCACGGCCGTCCTGATGACGATGTTGAGGTCGAACGTGTCGTTCACGCTGAGGTAGCCAATGGCGCCCGAGTACACCCCCCTTGGCGCGGCCTCCAGCTCATCCAAGATTTCCATGGATCGAATCTTGGGGGCGCCCGTCATGGAGCCCCCCGGAAACGCCGCCCTGATGCACTCGACCATGGACTTCCCCCGGCGGCGGATGCCGCGAACCGTAGACACCAGCTGGTGCACGGTCGCATATGATTCCACCTCCATCAGGCCGGGCACGTGCACGCTGCCCACCTCGCTCACGCGCCCCAGGTCGTTCCTCAGCAAATCCACGATCATCAGATTTTCCGCCTGCTCCTTCTCTGATGTCGCCAGGCTCTGCGCGGCCTGTCGGTCCAGGGCGGGGTCGGCGTGGCGGGCGCACGTGCCCTTGATGGGCCGGGCCTCAAGGACCCCCCCGCGGTCTCCTCTGAGGAAGCGCTCCGGCGAGGAGCAGCATACCTGGGGCCCGCCGTCGCCGAAGCTCAGCCACGCGCCGTAGGGCGCCGGATTGCTCTTCCGGAGGACGGAGTACAGGCGCCAAGGGTCCAAGCCGCCCTGGCCTCGTCGGTACGCGTTGGTCAGGCAGATCTCGTAGCTCTCGCCGGCATTCAGGGCGGCCATGCAGGCGTTGATGTTCTCCATGTACGTCGCCCTGTCGCGGACCAGGGCGAAATCCGGATTCCTCGCTGCCCCGCCATTGGGTGCTGGGACAGTGGGGCCTGGACAACAAGCCGAACGAGAGGCACGGTCACCAGCATATGTTTGAAACCTCAATACTTGTAGCATGTCGGGCAGTGATAGTGGTCATAGTGCTTTGTCCGCACACTCGGCTGTACAGCGTTGAGCACTGCCAGAGTGGGCACACTCGGCTGTACAGCGTTGAGCACTGCCAGAGTGAGCTGCCAAGGTGACAACCAATTCTGGTGAGTTCCCTGAAAGGGGCCAAAACAGTGTCGGCCATTCACACGAGCGCTGCATGCAAATAGCTGACAGATGTCCAAGGCGATATGCTAGTCAATCGACGCGTTGGTGTCCAAACATTGATCAAGATGCAGGCAGGGCCCTGGATACATAAATATTGTCCGAGCACCAGGGCAAGTGCAAGCACCACACCAAGTTTGACCCAATGAATTGTTTGGAAAAGGCTAACACTCTCACCATTACTCCCATTCACCATATGGCATGTACCACCCTTCTCCAGAATCTCCATCACTCGTTCCTTGGTGGCATCAAGCCACCTCAAGGACTCTGCTGATGCCTCCATTTCCCTCCTTATGGCTATGGCATATACATCACCACACTTGTGATCGACTGCCACAAGACGGTCAGCAAAGAAAAGTGCTGAGTCGGGAAGTGACGAGCAGTGTGCCAGGGTCCCCTCAGACAAGGCCTTGAGCTCGTATCCAAAATAGCCCACAAATCTGTGCACAGCGGTGACTTGTCAGTACATATCCAACAGTGCCTGCGATTTACAGAAACCCTTGAACACTATTTGCATGTTGTGCTGTCAACATTCACACCAGCGACTTTTGCAAAAGATACGAATGCACACAAGATTCATTTTGCTGCAAATATCCACTAATGCAATGGATGTATGCATGCACACTGAATGCTCTCAATCAGATATCACTATTGAAGCTGGAAAGGCAAGGAGGGTGCTGAAGTTCAGAATTGGAAAGTGTGTCTACCCTCGGTGAATGATAATGTGGTTCACTCAGTTACCCTATCTGCAAGCCAGGTTGCCAATTTGACCTTTGCCAACACGAGCGACGACATAGCCAAAGACAAAACGACCCAGACCCCAAATACCACACCGTTTCTGGCTGCACTGGGGTCGTCTCTACAGGGAGTAGCTCATTGCAACCAGGCACAACCTCCATGTGGGGTGGACTGCACTTCTCTATTCTGATTAGCACACATATTTTCCACACTGTTCACTGATTTTCAGGGATAAATATTGTGCCACACTCAGCAAAGCATGTGGCCACATTATATGAAATGTGCATGGTGGGCACCATAAAAACACTTGGCTTAAGTTGTCCCCTTAGGACTCCCTCCAACAACCTTTACTGCTCGTTCGCAAGCTATGCTATTGGAAACCTCTGACCAGCCATTTGGACAGTTTGCTGAAAATTAGACGTGATTCACGGTTCCATTCGTCAATTATCAGGTGGTCATTATGAAGTTACAAAGGCTGCTCCAGTCAGCTGGTCCAGCTGGGGTTGTTTGCCTCTTGCCTTGCACGCTATGTGCGACCTTCAGGCTGGCAAACTGCTGTATGATACCAAATTGTGCATCAACAAAGCGCAGGGCAGGAATTGCCTGTACTTTGGAGTGCTGTCTGCCAGATGGCTGGCAATCATTGTTTCCAGCAAGGACTGTGGCACCTACCCACCCCAGAAGTTGAATGGCAGGTGGTGAGCAAGATCATCTGTCACACCAATCTGCAGGTCTGCCAAACAACTCTCAAGGTAGTCCCACAGATCGCAGCCCATGGACTGTTGATTGCCATGTGAGTCCATGACCTGCAGGTTTCCTGGGCAGCCAGTCTTCGAGGTGTGCCTGCTAAGGCGGTATGTAATGCGCCGCCACAGAGCTCCACCTGGGCCCCCCATGAAAGAAAAGCGCCCACGATCTGTTGCAGCACTGGCCATCAAGCACAAGCACATTTCAGGTCGTGCCATAATTTCAGCAGCTGTGGATGCCAGAAGTGTCACACGCTTCAGAAACGGCACCAGGCAAGAAATCCAGGTTCTCAAGTGATTAGAGGAAACTTGGTTCTGATTTTCAGTGCTCCCACTTGGCAAAGAAGCACCACCAGCTTTTCAGGCTTCGAGCCAATAGAATGGCACAGGCAGTTACCTGCAGATGCGACAGGAAGATTCCATATTTTCTGGTTCAACCACTGCAGGAAAAGACTGTGAGAGCCTTACGCCCATTCTCAGGAACACCGCAGTGTCCAATACTTGTGCAGTCACGTTATGTGCACTCTGAGGGTCGGAGAATCACCAACAGTGGTGATCCTCTCAACCCAATATACCACATTAGTGAGCACAATATGCATCAAGGGTCCTTGATAGATTCATCCCTATCAACTGCGAATGTGCCAGAAAATCATGGAATTATCTTCTTGGATGTCGAATTTCTGGCAGCAGAGCACGAACAAGTAGATGTCCACTGCAAATTCTACGACAAAAGCACATGAGCTATGGGCGATACAAATTGCACACTGCTGGTACAAATCTTCTGTAACCAATAACATAACAGCCGATGCCCTTCTCCCATAGTTTACAACGGTGCAAGTCACTAGGAGTTGCTGCACACCCACAACACCAGTGTCCATTGTGTACTTTGATCGACAACTTCAGGAATCTATTTTCGATCGGCCGTCCATGGCTGATGGCCCACAGCAGACAGCACTCCATATGCATTATAGTGAGACTTGGGTACACACCTGTCCAGCCAGAAAGTGTCTTGCACATTGGCGGCACCAAACAAGCCATGAAACAACTCAGTCGGCTCCTCAGGACTGCCCTGCAGAACGCCTGCACAACGTTTCCATTCAACCACCAAGTTTCCTTTCCAGCCTTGTGCATCAACAGGCCAGGAAAGGGGAGCCAGCTCCAGTTCCCGGGGGCCCACACGATTCACTGTGGGCTTCACTGCTGGCAGCTCCACATTCTGTACAGTGATGTCCCTAAAATTCTGCAACAACTGCATCCCGTATGCAGTGCCTACACTCTCTGGATGAAATTGGACACCCATGTGTGGCCGAGTTCTGTGAGCCACCGCCATTGGAAGGGCATCGGTTGTGTTGAGCTGCCTGTGAGGTGCCCCGTTCTGTGCAGTTGGGGGCCTTATGACCTTGAGCGCCCCAGCTGTCCATGCTATGGCCTGGATGCAGAATGGCAGGGTCGCTTCCTCCACCACCAGCGAATGGTACCTTTGGGAAGAACAGTCAGTCACTGCCTGAGGCACGCATAGTACAGGCAAGGAATGGTGAAATGTATTTTGTCAGGAGCATGGGGCAGACTGAGCCCATGAGAACTGGTGTATCACTCTGAGGACACAGAAGGCCCTGGTTTGGAAACTACGGTGCTGCAGTGCATGGAACGGGCGATGGAAATGCAGGCCAACAAAGTTTGTTCCAATTCTTCAATTGGGCTTTGTGCCAAGCTGGTTGTCTCATCAAACATGCACTGAGTGTGCCCTTAGTGATCAGAAGTTGCCCCCATTTAATCAGGTCCGATAGTGTGTTCGCAAATCCACAGCCGACGAGGTCAGGCCTACTGGGGCAAGTTGCTGTGCACCCCACCTCACCACCTTGAAGCCACTCCCTTGACCAGAAGGGATGCCATGGAACAGGGGATGGCCCGAGTGGCGAATCTCGCTAACGCGGCCGTGCACAGGCTCCGGAGCCCGCACGACGGCGCCGCCGTGCACGTGAGCAAGGATCTGATGCCCCATGCAGACGCCAAGAATTGGGACGTCCGCGAACTCTTCGAAGACGGCACCGCACACGCCTGACGGCAAAAACAACAGCAGGGTTGTCGAAATTGCACTTTAACTATGAGGGCACGAGATGAGCAGCGAGCGATGCTGCTGGAAAGGGGTTTGCTGGAGTGTGCACGAACGGCATGCCCAAATGATACCCACAGCGTACCTATGTCTGATTGCCTATAGGGTGTTCCTGGGCCGGGGGATATGACGATATTGTCGAAGCCTCCTTCGCTGTGCAGGTGCCGAAGCTCCTGAACGGTCCTGTCGTCGTTCCTGATGACCGTGGGCGCCTCTGCACACCGCAGCCGCCCCATGACTAATCGAGACATCGTGCTTGTCAATGCCCAATACCTCCAGCTGCATGGCGCATCGCGGGCGGCGACGAAGGATCAGGGATCCCAGCCCTCGCGCTGGGAGGCTTCCAGGGGCTGCGCTGGTTCACCGACGGCCATTACCTCCATTCACCTCCCCAACAAGCTGGAACAGATTGTACGTGTAGCTGTCGTAGTTGTCTATGATCAGGGTCTTGACGCGTCGTCCCTCCTGGGCGCCCATCGCCATGCGAGGGACCAGGGGGCGCACGGCTGCCTTGGGCGCCCAGGGGCGTCGCCGGGGGCGGAAAGCCGCTGGCGCGTGCACCCCCGGCAACAAGGAACTCGCATGCATGATGCTGCGGAGGGCAAACGACGGACGGTGGGGATTTCAGGGACTACGGAGAAACTGCTGACACACTGGCCACCCATTTTGTACCACAGAACGCATAGGTATGCGGCGCTGGCCAGCCAGACACCCAAGGGCAGTGGTGCTGCAGGCTACCACATTTCCTTGGATTCCCTAAAAAGGCTGTGCATCGCGTCATCCATGAGCATCCCACGATGGACAATCGAGCTCGCTTTGTTGCAGCACGCAATGCTATCCGCGGCGAATAGGAACAAGGTTGAGCGCCACAAGTGACCTGGCAACGTTTCTTGATCCTCACAAGCGTGTTTGAACTTTGGTGCGGTAATGCTGGAGCCAGCTCCGTGGTGCGCACAACACAACGCGGCGGAAGCAATGCAGCTAGGTTATGTCCCTTGTACATTGTGGGCCAGCAGAGCTGCTGGGGCATTTGGCACATGCACTGCTCTCTTGCATAACAAAAGCAGCTGTCAGTCACCGACCCACCGGTGGTGTTTGTGTCCTCTGATGGATAGGTGTGGCTCGGCCACTGTGAATCGAACACGGCTTGAAGGTGGGTGAAATACCGATCAAGCTACACAGCTGCCTTCTTGTGCAATGACATTCAGCACCGATTCGACTATTCTGCGGCCCTTGCCTGCTCTCCACTCAATTCAATTCGTGGTTGACATATGCCTACATAATGATCATCTCCATATGTGCTGATTTCCCTGGAATCTAGCAGTGACGTGTGGTAATGGAAATATCCAGGTGAATCGACTATTCTAAAAGCTCCAGCAAGCAACAATTCCTGCACATAATGGAGGAACATATAGTTCCAGTCTACACTATTGCAGGTTCAAATGCAATTCGAGCAGCGATTCGCTATGAAACACACGGTGCTGCCCAGAAGGCGCCCTGCAGCTGCGATTGTACTTTGATGAACGAATACAGAAAGCCTTGCAGACTTCCTCTTAACTTTTCGCTCTGTGTGTCTGGTCCAGCAAGTTGCCACCCACTGACACAACGGGCTGTGGCAGTGATGAGTCAGGCTGGTGATTCCCAAGGTCTGCAATGGGGCTGTGGTCAAGCCCTGTCTGGCAAGGACTCCCTGAGCCACTTCACGACCTCACTGGCAAGGCTGTGCTCATCGCTTGCTGTGGTGTCAACAAACAATTGATGGGGGATCTCCACAGAGCCGTCTCGACTCCATTTCCAGCACTCCTGGTACCTGCATGCAATAGCATTCATTTCAAACGCAAATGCAGGGGATAGGAAAGGTGGCTGGCTTCATGGCAACAGGGCCGATATTCTCGCCCAAGACAAAGCAATATTAGGAACGTCAAGCGGGCTTGGCACAAAGGCAATCGCTCACCTACAATGGCCGCACTTCCCACAGTCAGCTACTGCTCAAATTGTGAACAGAACTGAAGAGAAGGCACCCACCGTTCTAGGAGTGCTTGTAACTCTTCCCATGACTTCGGCTTGTGACCGTCCTCTTCACTGGCGTTCTCGCTCCGGGACGCTAACCGCGATCGCCAAACACTCTCATCCTTTGCTTCACACTCCACCACCACCAATCTGGCACCAAACTGAAAGCAATAAGTCAAAAAAGCATTGCGTTGGTCACAATCTACAGGGAAAACAGAAGGCTGAATCGAACTTGGGCATCCTTGCAGAATCCCAGGATGCTGTTCTGTTCAACTATACCGCTTCTACCCAAAATGCGCTGCTGTCAATTGGACAAATCAAACTGTGCACTACAGGAAATGAGTTCGCTCACAGCGAAGAGTGATAACAAGTGCCCATAAGTCTAGATGCTGGGAGCGACATGGACATCAACATTGTGGTGCGAACGCAAGCAAGAAAATGTGTTGTCACTCTGTCTGATGAGAAGTACCACCTTCCAGTCAGAACCATTTGATGACCAAAGCCATCAATCATCTGTGCCATCGCAGTCCATTGTAAGCCAGCCCACACACCAATTTGCTGCAACAAATGGTGACGGTGATGGGTATGAAGGTCATCTCGTCCCCTCCCCAGGCCCCAGGCCTTCCAAATGCCCCGCAGTTGATCAAACTCAGCATCCCGGTTTTAGCTCTACGAAGCATGTCTTCCCCTCAAACAGCAATCAACTTGCAAGCAGGGGCCCCTTCGCTCCGCGCAACACGAACCGCTACCGCGCACCTGCTCGGCCAAGGCGCTCGCCTTGTCGTACAGTGCCCTCCTGGACAGGGGGCAGTCCACGATCACGCTGAGGCCCACACGCAGGAGCGTCCGCGCCGCGCTGAACATGATGTCGTAGGAGACGGCGTCCACGCCCGCGCACTCGATGGCGCAGCGCTGCAGCGCGCCCTTGGCGTCGTCCTTGTCCACCAGAGACCATCCGAGGGAGCGTGCCACGTTGCGACCGAGCGTGGACTTGCCGCACCCAGGGTGCCCCTTCAGAAGCATGAGGACGGGCTTTGCGACCCTGGGCTGCCGTCGACCGCCCACAGACACGTGATCAGGGGACCTCATGAGCCCAAACGGCACTTTCGGGTAGCGCCGTCGCTTGCACAAGCTTTTCAGGCGCATCGCCGTCCGTCACCGCATGCGCAATGCAATCCAAGGATCGCCAAGGAGGGCTTTGGATAAACTGGTATGCTGCTGTATGGGGAGCTATTCCGGCGCATTGGTCACAGTCACCCCACCCGACCGAACCGCGCGTGCCTTTTGAGGAGTTCCGAAACGCACCTCGTCTTCCATCGCGCCCTCTCTGGCGCCGGCTGCGGCCCTACATGGGGTGTGGGACACGGTACTTGAGAGTGAAGGACGCTCATTGGTGCCAGAGGGGCTGATCGCAGAGATCTTCCCAGCACTGGTCCCCGCCCGCGCGGGCGCTGAAATCTCTGGTACCTGGGCGATGCGCTGCGGGCGGCGTCCCTGGGGCCTTGCCCTTGCGGCTGCCGTGCGCTGGCCGCCTGCCGTGGCTGCGCGGCCCCCTCGCGGCCCGTGCCCCACCAGCCCTGCGAGCGCCCCTTGGCCACGTATCGCAAATACGGTGGGCCATCACCAAGGGGCGCCCCCCATTACGAGGCAAATGCGTGTCAAATGCGAACGCCCCCACCCTTAAATTTGACACGGCCGCCTAGTCAACCTGGTGGTCAGGTCCCTCCAGAAGCTCCACGCAAATCAACTGAGGACGAGGGCACTTGAACTCCCCGACAACAAAGTACCTCGTTGCTGCATGACTGCTCTAAGGTTCTTGAACTCCTGCAGTAGAACTGTGCATGCAGGTTACCCGAAGAAGGGATGTCTGCATTTATACTGATACTGAGCTGGTTGTTTCAGGCAGCGTTGTCCCCAAATGCATGCGGCTTTCAAACTGCGGTGAACAAAGCATTTCAATGTATAGTGCCTACAACCGGATCAAATGCTTCTCACCCATCTGGGAAAGTCGCTCGTGGACCCCCAATAATAAGCCAGTGGAACAAACATGCATCTGTGCATGCCACCTTGTCATCCAACTCCATGTGTTCAGAGAAAGGCAAGCAATTTGGTTACAAGTTCAAGGGCTGAGGTCACAGGTGGGTCCTCCCTCGTAGGCATTCGTTGGTGCATCGCGTGACACATGCCTCATTCCATGCTGGTACCTGGTGCATGTTTATGCACACAGCACGTTGGCAGGCATCTGTGCATGCATCGGCATCTGCAGGACATCAGAATCAATCAATTCTGTTGCCAGGAATGTGGGCTGCAGCAAGGATATGCTTTGCTCACGATATCTGTTTTGGGGACAAAGCCAACTCGAATGCATTGTGCTTGGGAGGCATTCACAAGCACAACCTTGTCCAATGGACACCAATCGCACTATTCTCTGGTCAACAGCGACTGGAATATCATCACCTGCAACGAATGGTGCATCCTTGTGAATGCAGAAGCAGTACCAAGGATTTGCTGCGGACGAAGTTGTGCCAAGCAGGAAAATGAAACCTCTAGCACAGACCAAGCAATCCAGCTCAACAAGGACATCCAAGGTGCTCAATTGATGTTGCAACAGTTTCAGCATGGTCTGGTGTCAAGGGAACCACGACGTCACAGTGCATTTTGCATTGCAATGTTTGAACTCGCAGCCCACCTGAGACACCGCACACAGTCACACATGTCCCAGGGGTGGGGTCCTGCGCGGCACAACCAACGGTGTTGACAGGATGAGCTACTCACACAATGCAACCAACAAGATCAGCTGGTCGCTCTTGTGTCCGAAGCTTGGGCTAACCTTGGATAGGCCTCCCATTCTCCTGAGGAGCCTATCGGACGTGCACACTCGTTCGCAGAAGAAGCTCAGTTCAGAGCCATCCTGATCTTCCCTGTTCAAAGACGTGACACGGAGTGCATGAGTCCGTACGCAACAGGGCCATCGCACGTGCGTTTTGTGTGCACCCACAGGATGAATGGCCAGGTTCCTGAGCTTGGTTGTCCCGTTCTCAGTCAAATTGTGCATCCGCCTCCACGGCTGCAAGAGGGTCGAAATTTTCAACTCGCTGCACTTCTCCGTTCACTGCATTCGAAACTATGCCACCTGCCAGCATCCAGCCCTGCTGGAGGCCCCAATCGGCAACACTCGCACACAATGAACGGCGAACTATCGACAGAAAGCAAGCCCGATTTCGCCCGCATCCAGACGCCCTTCTCGAGCACAGGGCGACGGCGCAGCGAAAGCAAGCCCGCCGCGACATCGTCGCCTCACTTTGCCCTCTGCCGCAGCGGCTTCCTCCTGGAGCCGCCCCCGATCAGCAGCTTCACCACGAACGCAGCTGGCACCGTCAACCCGGCAGCCCACCAGACCTGCTTCATACGAGGCCACCAGCCCAGGCGCGCTTTCCGAGCGCCACGCGCTCCGTGCCAACTCCGCTGTCTTTACAAACTACCAGCACCGATTGGCACCCGTCCAGTGGCGTTCCAAGGGGCAGGTTGGCGGGGCCCAA